AAAATAGATAATCAGTTATACATTAAATTGTTACACGGTAAATGAATGAGAAATTTGTTTCGATTTGATTTTAATATTTAATAGTTATGCAAATAAAACTTCCAATGGTTTACACCTCTTCTCAATACAGAAATTGTTTCATTGATTTTTGAAATAAAAATAAAGTTTTTAGAATTTTTAGCTAATTTTTTTTTCGCTCTTTCAAGCTTCATAATCTTTCCATAGAGTTCAATAATTTTAGATTTGACTCTTCCTCGCATAACAACCTTTCGTATTCGTCTCTCTATCATCGAACTCCTGCCATAGCTGCTCGAATCTTCCTCCATCCAATTCCATCGGGTCAAAAGAAAAGTTGCCTATGGTGTATCTATTCATTATTTGTTCAAACTAAAAACAACAATTAAATATTAAAATCAATTTGACTCACAAAATGTTAAACTTACCTCATGAGATAATTCCATTTTTCCGGTACGGTTAACTTACAATTAGATCCCCAAACACTAGAAAGAATAAAACTTAAATGAGAAAAAAACATTCAAGATCTTGGATTTTATATCATCCTTGACCGTTAAATTAAATTTTGAATTTCAACCACTCACCGTGCATCATTTAATTTGAGGCGGAGCTTAACCTCTTCAAGTTTTTCCTTGGCTGATTTATGTTTTTTATGATTGACAATTATATCTGCCCTGAAATACCCTCGTACTGAATGATAATATTGTGTGACCTCTTCAAAATTACTATTCCAGGTCATAAAACAAAAAGAAATTTGTTTATCGGTAAATAAACCTTCATATTTTTTAGGATTGAAAAAAGCGATTTCAAGAGAGAAGGCATATTTGACAAATTGTTGATTCATTTCTTTTGAATAACAATAAGTTCTGGTGGATGGAATAAGATTAATCGGTTCAAAAAAAGGGCGAATTTTAGGTTCGATGTGCCATCCGCGATTCTTCAGATCCTCACGTTTAATTCGTTCCACACAACCTGGTTTTCGAGGTTGACGATCACCATCAATATCAACACCAACAATATGAAGCAAAATATTCCGTAGTTTTGAGAAGCACAAACCGCAATACACACACATCCATTGATAGCGCCAGTCTTGATTACCTGAATGTTCATGAACTGAATAAAATATTGAAAACACAATTCAATGTAAACAATTTAACTCACCGTATGGCGAGGAAATGACTCGCATTTTCGGTCGAAATTTGGGTGGACAGGCACGATTAATTAGTGGGAAAAGATCAAATTCTTTAATACCACAACATGGATTATCGAACCGAAAAATATCATGAGGATGACGATTTTTTTCCTCTTCTACTAACGTTTCCTTAACACAAGAGAGGTAAACTTGATTGCTGAAAGCCATGATTAATAATGCTGAACTTAAAAAAAAATCTAGGATATATAATGAATTTTTGCACACGAAACAGAACTTTAATTGTTAATTATTTTTATTTTTTTTCTTTGAATTCATTGAACTTTTTTACAAAATGTAGAAAACGTTTTCTTATTTCAATGAAAAGATTGTTTTTCATGTTAATTAAAATAACATTTTCTTCTGCTGTTTTATTATTGTATTCCAACTCTGTCTCAATCATTCGCTTTTGAACGTAAATTGAGGCAAATCCTTTCATGAAATCTTTTGTCCATTCTTCATCCATTTGGTGTGATGCGTATCTCATACCATTCAAAATGACCCAAAACTTTTGGTCTGTCAATTGTCACTCTTCTAGTGATGACTAAAAAAGAAGAAAAGAAGAAAAGAAATTAACCGAAAAGATTTATAAAAATGAAACTTACCATGGTGAATACAATCGGTGTTAGTGAAATGTTGTTGAATGATAGATTATGGTGAAAATTTTGTTGTTTTATACTTGAATTTGTGAAGAAAAAGATTTAGTACCGATAAAAAACGAGAAATGTAAGATTTTCTTTGAACAATTTAATTAAATGAAAAACAAAAAATCAAAATCAAAACAAGATTGAAAAGTAAAAACTAAGAAAGTTAAAAATAAAAAACAAGTAAAAAAACAAAAAATAACAAAAATAAGAAAAACAAGAATAATAAAAAACCAAAATAAAAACCAAAATAAAAAATAATAATATTAGGTCAGTCAATAAGTCCGCGCGTTTGAAAGGTTCGCAAGGTCACAAAATTTTTATTTTTGAATATATTCACCATTAACATCTATACACTCTTGCCACCGAGAAGGTAAAGCTAAAAGGCCAGATTTGTACCAAGAGGCCGCTTTTGAATCGAAGAAGTCTTTTACCGCTTCTTCGATCTCTTCCCGCGACTCAAAAACCTTCCCCCTCAAGTGTCGTTTCAAATTTCCAAATGAAAATAGTCAGAAGGGGCCAGGTCAGGTGAATATGTGGGGTGGTTGATTAGTTTCCACCCTAATGAGGTCAAAAGGGCCATTGTTTCGCGCGCTTTGTGAGGGCGGGCATTATCCTGCAGGAAAACTTTTTTCCGCTTGTCCTTTTTGGCCTTAAAAATGGAATCAACCTCTGATATTTGAGTTCTATATTCTTGAGCATTGATGGTAGTACCTGTTTCCATGAACTTTAGGTACACAATTCCTCTACAGTCCCACCATACACTCGCCATGACCTTAAACCCCATCCGATTCACTCTGACCCGCTTACTGACCTGCCGCTTGTCATTGACCCACTCTTTTGATTCCCAATTAGTCTCAGGGTCATAGCCATAGATCCATGTCTCGTCCATAGTTAGTAAATTATTAATGACCTTGGTGTCGAACTTGTTATACAAGGTCAAAGCTTCCGAACAGCATGTTACTCTATTCATTTTTTGCTCATTGGATAGCATGTGTGGTACCCACATTGCGGTCAATTTTTTCAGGCCAAGTTCGTGTGTGAGAATCATATGCATAGTACCATGAGATACATTGAACATTCTTGATAGAAAATCAATGGCCACCTTCCGGTCAACATCAATCACATCCTTGACCTTGGCCGCGATGCCAGCATGGTCCACTTCCGTTGGCCTTCCGGTTCGCGCATCATCCTCTATACTTAAGCGGCCATTTTTGAAAAGTCGGTACCATTTTCTTATAAAGGTAACTCCAGGTGACTCATCACCATAGGTATTTTCAAATTCTGACCTCACTTCACTTAGCGACAATTTTTTTAAAACTAAGAACTTTATCACTGCTCGATATTCGAGGTACTTCATGATGGTTAAAGGCTTATAGAAAACTGACCAGTTGACCTAAGGTCATGAAAATTCAATGTGTAGGCCTCAAGAGTGACCTCTAGCGAATACCTAAAAGTGACCTTTCTATGTTCATCGGGACATGTCAAACGCGCGGACTTTTTGACTGACCTAATAAAAATGATGAAAGGAGAATCGAATCATTCTGTGGTAAATCGGGCAACGTGAACTGTACCAGGCTGGCGGTTGGCATAAAATTGCAATTTATAACGTCGATATCCATAATAAAGAGCAGCTTCCAAACTTCTAACCTGGGCCGCTAACCAGATGTTGTTCCAGGTGCTTTTTCCATTTGTTTGTATTTCTATCTCTATCAACTTCTTTCTCATAAATTTGGACATATAATAGTCCAGAAAATCAGACCCAGCTTGCGTTTGCCAGTCGTCCACCATGCTATTCAACATAAAAAAAGCTCCAGAATAGCTTGTCATCAAGTCGCCATTCCTTGGCCAAATCCGGAAATTCCTATGATTAAAAAAGAAAAGATGAAAAATTAATAGTAAAATTAAAGCTAGGCTGATGAAATAATACTTACATTATGCATTGGTGGATAAAACATAATTTCCATTTCACAAATCATGATGGATGAAACTTTTTGATATGATTTTTATTAATTTCTTCTTTTATATGATTTTTTTATTGAAGGTACGTGATGAGAATCAAAAAATGATAATTAGTGGAAAAGTTTCAATTTTAAATTATGTTAGTAATGTAAGCTTAGAAAAGTTACATTGAATCAAATTTGAAACCTTGCGGGTTAAATTAAACAGATTTTACAGATAAATAATTTTAATGGATCAAAAGGAAGATTTTTATCGCTAGAAAAATAGTTAAATTAAGTTCAATACCTTGCGGGTAAAATTGATAGTAAAGATAAGTTTCAAGGTTGATTTAAGTTTGATAAAAAGAGTTACATTGAAACAATTTGAAATGCTTGTAAAAGCTAAAGCAGATAAATATCATTAGTTTCAAGTAAAAATCTGTTATTCTAATTAAATAAGCGGTGGTTTGCATTTGAACTTTGTTGTTGAATTTTAATTAGCACCTCTTGATGATTGAACTCTATTAATCATCTCGAAAATATTGAAATATCGCTAAACCAATACCTTTGTGAAAAAGACAAATTTACACTTAAGTTAACATTGGTGTGAGAGAGAAGACAATGAACTTTCTGGTGCAAATTTTGATGATAATTTATTGTTGACTAGACTCTATTGATCATTTCTAGATCATTAACAATTCACTAAACTAGTAGCTTTGGATAAAAATTAGATTTGAACAAATTTGCACAAATTTACACTTGAGTTAACATTTGTGTGAGAGAGAAGACAATAAACTTTCTGGTGCAAATTTTGATGATAATTTATTGTTGTCTGTACTCTGTTAATTATTTCTAGACTGGTTACAAATCATCAAACCCGTAGCTTTGGATAAAAGTAACAGAAAAGCTTCTGGTACTCTGCAGGAATTGTGAAATCATCATTTTCAGGTTCATATCCATCATCATAGCATATAATGCTAGCCCATGGAAATTTATTTGGTGCAATTGTTTTCCATCGGTTTGGACACCGTTTGCTCGGTATATTTTCTTCTGTTCGTCGCACATGACAAGGAACGTACCAATATCTCGAGTTTTACCATTTTTTGTTATTTCTTTTTTACCAAAAAGATGACGTTTTAATTCAGGTAATTCTGTCATGGTGACATCGCAATAATTACATGAATACTTGAAAGGAGCTTCTTTCAACTCAAGTTATTGTCGCTTAACCTCCTCATCATAATCCATTGGTACACTCTTTTGATCAGCAAATTTTTTGAATGTTTCATATGCAATTTCTTTTTTCGGATCTAAATCTTCTGGGTCAATTAAATCTGAAATCTTTCTGATCTCATGGTAAGTTTGCCATGTTAATAATTCATTATCTGGTGTTACTGTCCACATTTTTGTTTTACAAGGGCTTAAAAGACCTGGGGCAGCTCGAGCTTTCTGAATAATTTTGTTAATGAATGTGGATTTATTTGTTGTTACATCTTCATTGTTAAGAGATGCAGGTGACCATGTTTTTTCATAAGTAGGTGAATTGACCGCAGATGTTGATTGCTCGGTTCTTTCAGAGACAATCGCAGTTACCGTGAATGAAGGTTGTCGTACATCATTTTCATTGTTATATCCATTATTTCCATTAACTTCATCACCTTTGTCACCATTACCTCCGTTACCATTATCTCCGTTACCTTTATCTCCATCACCATTATCTTCATTAACTCTAGCAGAATTAACTTCATCAGAATTACCTTCATCACCATTACCTCCGTTACCATTATCTCCATCACCATTATCTTCATTAACTCTAGCAGAATTAACTTCATCAGAATTACCTTCATCACCATTACCTCCGTTACCATTATCTCCATCACCATTATCTTCATTAACTCTAGCAGAATTAACTTCATCAGAATTACCTTCATTACCTCTATTATCATTACCAGCATTAACATTATCATTACCAGCATTAACATCATCATTAGCACCATCTAGTGTTGAATAAATAAGCAAAAAGAAAAAAATTATTTTTTGACTCAAGTGAGATTCGAACTCAGGTAAATTTTTCAGCAAGTGCTCTAACCACTGAGCTAGCTATTTGGTTTTTCAAAAAAATTAAAAAATGTGATGACTATTCTAATGTCGTGAGAAAAAAAATGACGTGTGGGGTTTTTTATATATATATGAGGGTCGCCCCATTTCTATTCACTTCAATAATAACAATAAGAATAATAAGAATAATAAAAAAACAAAAGAAAATGATTTACTTTGATCAATGACCATGTTTTGTTCATCCTCATCTTCAGTTGAATCTGTTCCACTTCTTGTTCTGGCTTCCATACCATCAGTCATTACACATGCTGAATAATTATTAAGAATGAAAACAATTAAACAATGGAAAAAGTGTAACTGGTAAACAACTTACCGAAGCTCAGTAGTATTAAAAAAGGAACTTTTTGTATAAACATAATTAACTAATTGTTTTTGGTTGTTGTTGACAAAGATTGTTTTTCAAAAGGATCATGAAAATGAACTATATAAATTTTTGTTTACAAATGAAACAAGTTCTAAGAGTAGTAAAGTTTCAGTAACTTTAAGACAAAATGCGCGCTTCTTTTGAATTCAGTTAATTAAGCTCTTGCTTATAAAAAACATATCCCCTTTTATCATTAGTTTTTCCCCCACTTCCGCTTCTGGCTGAGCCAGAAGCGGAGGTTTTCATACTACTAGAATTCACCCGATTGCAATTGAGATAAATCTTCAGCTAATTATAAACTACAACAGGAAAATTTTCAATAAATGAAAGTGTTATAATGTCGACTAAAGTGAAGGTCAAAGGAAAATTATCTGCATATCTTGAATGGTAACCAAGGAGATCGATAATTAATTTCCTCGTGTCCATTGACAATAACGAAGAAAATTACCATTCGGATTATAAACTTTGGTTGTAAAACAATCAATACATGAATTGATCAGAAATCCGTGTTGGATTATAAATACAAAAATTCGAAAGATAGAAAAAAATGTGGTGTTTTAAAAGGGCCAAAAATCGTATTTTCCCATTTTTTAGTAGGTTTAATCATACTGGTCTAAAATTGAAGACTTTGTCTTTATATAAATTTTATTTATTCATGTTTACAATTAAATATTTGAGACAACAAAAAACTAGTGAAAGAGAAAGAGAAAGCTGAAAAATGACAGAGATTTCGAATCAGAATCAGAATTTGAATTTGATTCAATTTAAATTCTATTTTACTTTCATCAAACCAGTTACAGTCTTTTGGCCATTAGCCACTTTCTTTTGTTTTGAATTCCAGGTTGAAATACTTTGAAATCTTCTAGCAAAGATAATAGAAACTACAAGGATAACGATAATCACGCTGCTTGTCACAATTAGCGGAACTAAATAATCTGATCTTTCGCTCGATGTTGATGGTAATATAGAGGAACATCGATCGTAGAATTTACTGGAGTAAAAATTGGCCTAAGAGGCAAATCTCCAATAAAAATCGAAATGGAACTTTTATCGTTTAGATATTGATTTAAGAGACTCATTTCTCATTCCTTTTGTTTGATTGGGAGTTACGATAGTCTTGGATTTTTTATGATCGCTCTTGGAAACTTTTAAATCAATTGATTTACTTTTTTTGCTGATTAATTCACGGGAATGCGATTTCAAAAATAGTTCTGATTTAGATTTAAAATCTAACGACGATTTATGTTTGCTTCTTATGTCAGGTAGCGAGCTTTTGGATGGAAGATTTTTTGTCTTGACCATTGTGTCCGGAGCTTTTTTGACCTCAGTACGACGAGTATAAAATAAAACAAGTACAACAATAGAGATGATAATAGTACAAATAAGTAATATTCTCAACAGGACAAAAAAAAGTGGCAGTGAACTGATGGTAAAAACATCACTATATGTGATCAAGTTGTCGAGTTCTAATGTTTGAAATGGACCTTGTCGTCTAACCAGAAGGATCGATAATCGATATTGACCAGAATTCACCCGATTGCAGTTGAGATAAACCTTTGACTGATTATAATTCACAACAGAACAACTTTCAATTAAGGAGTATGTTGCATTGTGGACTAAAGTGAAGGTCAAGGGGAAAATGTGGGAATATTTTGAATGGAAACCAAGGAGATCGAAGTTCAAACCAAATGTTGGTTCACCAGAAACGTAGTCTGCTTGGATATTAGTTGGGCTGAAACATGGATTTACTGTTTGATTCGTGAGTGTAGTTTCTCTGTAAAAAAGATGATGGATTAGAATTAAATAGAATAAAAGAGTAACTATTCAAATTATTACCTCGAATCAGTAGAATCTGTATCGCCGATTGAACATTCACCCGATGTTAATGAACTTCCTCGTCTCCATTGACAATATCGAAGAAAATTACCATTCGGATTATAAACTTTGGTTGTAAAACAATCAATACATGAATTGTTCAGAAATGGACACAAATTAATTGAGTCGGTGTAAGAATACTGATTAAATGTAATTATGACTTGTGGATGAGTAAAACCGTGATAATAAATTTGTGACATTGTTCGATTTAGATTGTTGATATTACGATGATCGAACGTCCTTTCGATTGGGTGGGTCATTGTAGAATAACTTTCATTGACAAAGTGAATTGAATATCGATATCTGGACACGTCACTGTTAGAGGAGAGAACGAGGAAAACATAACCTGGAGTCGCATCAAGAGCCAATGGAACAAAATCAACTATTCGTGTCCAGTTTCCCGTTAGAATATCTGTAAGATGATACCCGGTAAATTCTTTACGTATTGACAATGTTTGTATATCGGCTGATTGGGAAAAAGAGTTACACTCTGGACCAGATTCGTTGAACAGATCAACCATTCAAAAAGTTTCCGCAGTTTGACAACCATTAGTTGGCCCTCCAAAGTCACTCAGCATCAAATTAAATGGAATCACTTCAATATGATCGTTTCTATTTTGATTATATGAGAATGTAATCAAAGAGAATGAAGATCCATCGCTCATGATAGAAAAAGAATCAACACATCGAACTTTGTCAATCGAACCATAACGTTCATAAAATGAAATAGAATGAAGTTCAGCGTAGAAATATCTATGTAACCTGTGATCGCCCATGTTGATTAATAAGTTTGATAGTTGGGAGATGAAGTAGACTGGCCTTAGGGGGTCAATTGTTAGAAAGCCGAACGAGTAAAAGTTTTCATTAAACTTGAAGGTTTGAAGAATTCGAAATTAAATGCGAATAAATTAGCTCGCGAATTCGTTATATTGGATCCTGACATTATTCCGATCTCATAAATTGAATCACTAATGGAGAGCCACCGATGAGTATTTAGTGATCCTGCAGAAAAGGGCCCAGCTATTAGTTCAAAACCAATTTCTGGAATATAATCATAATGAGCGAAATCAGTGCTGCTCTTGCCTTGCAATAGGTAGTAATTGGGTCTACGAGAATAAGCTGGAGCAAAATGAGTCGCGCTTCTTTCTTCACCAACTGCGCTAGGGTCCGAGTTGAGAACTCGACTTGAATAATTAGTTGGGTAAAAATAGTTTTCAGTGTAAAAGAAATAAGGGATTCGTAAATTGTTGTTGAATATCGGAATCCAAACATTTGATTCGTGGATTATAAGATTAGTATTAACACCAACTATCGATTAGAGTAATATACAAACTGCGAATAAACTAGCCAGTGAAATCAAATGAAACATTCTGTTCTACTGTAGAGACGAAAAACAGACAATTGGATTTTTTTTCTAATTATGGAAATACAATTAGGATTATATTCTTTGGATAATAATCGAGAATTATTTTCATCTTCTTAATTGTACAAACAATTAAATGGAAAGCCATCGATGGGTCCTGATGTTTCCTCGAGAAAAAGGCCCGGCTATAACTTCAAAACCGTTTTCTGTAAAATTATAATGCACGTAATTAATAACGGAGTTGTAGCTGCTCTTGCTTTGCAATATGAAGTTACTGGGTTTATGAGAATAAGCTGGAGCAAAAGGTAACTAATTGTAAAATCAAAAGTAAATTAGTAAATTAGTTAATTAGTTAACTAGAATATTAATCACAATTAAACAACAATGATTAATAATTAAGTAAAATTTAAGGATTAATATGAATGACAATTTAGTAATTAATAATTGATTCAAAATCTTAATGAAACTAAATTAAATGATTAAATGTTGTATTAAATAAGACGCAATTGATTAATTGCTCAACAGAATGATCCATGATTTTTAACAATTATAATGAAACAAATTACTTGGACGCTCAATCGTTTCTGGATTAACCCAAACAGATCAAATTGATTATTGGGCCAGAAAAGAAAGTTAATTGTTATCAATCATCTGAAAAATCAGAATTTACTACGATTTGAAGGTTAAATTGGACATCAATGCGAATTGGACAAAAAAAATAAGATAACAACTTTTTTTCGATTTTAAAAATAATAACCAATCGATATTCACTAATATCTTGGTAATCGCTTCTTATTTTTACTCGATGACGATTTTTTCAGGCCTGATTTTGAGTTCGCACGTGATTTAATTCGCTTGATATATTTTCGTGGTTGTAAATTTTTCGCTTCAAAGGAAGTTATCGATCGTCGATTAGGTTTAATTTTCGTTTGATCAAGTTTTTCGATTGATTTCTCTTCAGAACTTGATTCTTTTTCTGATGATGACCATAACCGGGCGAATGTCGATTCATTCGTTTTCCACATTACTATACAAAATACAATCAAAAGAACACACAGAACAGTTCCACCAATAATAATAATAGTAAATTCGGATGAACTGATTTCCTCTGGAAGCTGAGGTAATATCGTTTCGTTAGTTAAATTAGAAATCGCCTTTAAATTGTATTTCAAAAACTTAATTTTCGCATATTCGGATTGGGAGGTATTTCGATTGGACATAATTCTCTGGATCTACACCCAAGATCTGATTTAATCCAAGTTTTCATCCCATCACATTTTACCATGAGAACAAGACTATCAATTAAATTAAATTAAATTCCAATTCTTTGATAACAATTAACCTCAAATTGTGATGAAAAAAGGTAAATCAAATCACCAGAGAAAAACACTTTTATTACAATAGAAAACATTACTTCTTTTAGGATTGCTCTTACAATCGATTGGATTATAAATTATTAATCACAATTAAATTAATTCAATTAATCATAATTAGAATAGACAACTAGCTCCATCTGGTGTATTCGAATTTAGATTTTTTTTTTGTCGCCACCTTGCGGAAAAGAAGGTGAAACTCAACATAAACAATTGAATTTTCTTGAAACCGGCAAATGTTTAAATTAATTTTCATCTCTACATTTTTAATTTAATTTAATTCTCTTGACGAGTGTTATTTTTTTCTTGTGTTAATTGTTATCTCTATTGACTGATCTCTCTGTTTCCACCATGACCTGTAACACAATCTGTAACCCAGATCTTGGAGATATTATTGAAAAGCTAAATGTTGGCTTGGAAGTGTCTCGATCAACCAAAATATTTAATTCTCATTATGCTTTATACAGCCACGGAAAATGAGTTTGAAGGTAGTTTTATATCAATTGCGCATCGAAAGCGATAAGAAAATCTTATCAATCAAAACAATGGTGAATTTGAATGTCTTGATTATCTAACTACTGATAAATTGTCGTTATCGCCTTTGCTGCGCGAATGATATAAATTTACCCTCAAACTCATTTTCCGTGGCTGTATAAAAATAAAGCCAATGGAATTGATATTGAGTTATCGTTTAGCTTTTGATTGATTTCTCGTTCTTTTTGTCTGTTTGATTGTTGCGATGGTCTTGGTTTTTGAAGGGTTTTGCTTGGGGACTTTTGAAACAACTGGTTTGCTTTTTTCGCTGACCAATTCACCGGAACGCACTTTCAAAAATGGTGAAAGGATCACTATCAGACCTTTTAGCTTTTTGATCTCGTTGCAAGTGACACAATTTTCTATCTTTTGCGATGGTTTTTGTTTTGTAAATACAGCGAAAAAACTAATGCATAATGAAATACAACGATCACAATCACAGAGATAATAAAGATGCAAACTCGTAATATTATCAACAGAATATAAAAAAATGAAGATCCATGAGAAGATGGAGGTCTCGGTGAACCGATGGTGAAAGAATCACTATAAGTGATCAAGTTGTCAATGTCTAGTGTTTCAAATTGACCTCGTCGTCTTAGCATAAGAATCGATAGTTGATATTGACCAGAATTCACCCAATTGCAGTTGAGATAAATCTTGGACTGATTATAACTTAGAACAGTACAATTTTCTATATATGAAAATGTCATAATGTCGACTAAAGTGAAGGTCAAAGGAAAAATATCTGCATATCTTGAATGGAAACCAAGGAGATCAAAGCTCAAATTAAATGTCGGTTCGACAGGAGTGTAGTCTACTTGGATATTAGTTGGACGGAAACATGGATTTACTGTTTGATTCGTGAGTGTAGTTTCTCTGTAAAAAAGATGATGGATTAGAATTAAATAGGATAAAGAGTAACTCTTCAAATTATTACCTTGAATCAGAAGAATTTGAACCACCGATTGAACATTCGCCCGATGTTAATGAATTTCCTCGTCTCCATTGACAATATCGAAGAAAATTACCGTTCGGATTATAAACTTTGGTTGTAAAACAATCAATACATGAATCGTTTAGAAAAGGACACAAAATAATTGAATCAGTGTAAGAATACTGATTGAGTGTAATTATGGCTCGTGGATGAGTAAAACCGTAGTAATAAATTTGTGATACTGTTTCATTTGCGTCAACAATATTAGGATGAGTGAATGTCCTTTCGATCGGGTGGGTCGAGACAGAATAATTTCCATTGACAAAGTGAACTGAATATCGATATCTGGTAAAATTACTGTTCGAGGAAAGAACAAGAAAAACATAACCAGGAGTCGCATCAAGAGCCAATGGAACAAAATCAACTATTCGTGTCCAGTGTTCCGTTAGAATATCTGTAAGATAATACCCTGTAAACTCTTTACGTATTGACAATGCTTCAAAAAACGCATCTTGATAAAAGTTGCACTCTGGACTAGATTCATTGAACAAATCAGCCTTCCAAAAAGTTGTCGTATTTTCACAACCGTTAATTGGCCTTTCAAAGTCATGCAGCATCGGATTAAATGGAAACACTGCAATATGATCTGTTTCATTGCGATTATAAGAGACTGCAATTAAAGAGAATGAAGATCCATTGCTCATGATAGAAAAAGAATCAACAAATCGAACTTTGTCAATCGAACCATAACGTTCATATAATGAAATTGAATGCAGCTCTTTGTAGTCATCCCGAAGAAAAGGCTGAGGCCGGTAAAGATGAGCGTTTGATATTTGTGAGATGAAGTAAACTGGCCTTAGGAGGTCAATTGTTAGAAGGCCAAATGAGTAAATATTCTGCCTAAACTTGAATACGTGAAGAATTTTAAACGATCGAACTTTGGATTCGATATGATATAACATCCAATCAGACCAATAATTGGTGTAATCGACATTAAATCGCACTCGATGAAATAGCATGGCTTGAGAATTTGTTATATTGGATCCTGAAAACATTGCAATTCCATAAAATGAATCATTAATGGAAAGCCAGCGATGAATATCAAGGTTTCGTCGCTGAAAAGGTCCGGCTATTAGTTGAAAACCATTTTCTGTATAGTTATAATGGGCGAAAATGATACGGGTGCTCTTCGCCTGTAAAAGGTAGTGATTGGGTTTATGTGAATAAGCTGGAGCAAAACGAGTCCTGCTATTTTGTTCACCAACGGCGTTAGGGTCCGTGTTGAGAGCTTGATTCGAATAATTAGTTGTGTAAAATTTGTCATCAGTGAAAAAGAAATAAGGAGCTAGTAAACTGTTGTTGAAAATCGGAATCCAAACATTTGATTCGTGGATTATAAGATTAGTATTAACACCAACTATCGATGAGAGTAATATACAAACTGCGAATAAACTTGACAATGAAATCAAATGAAACATTTTGTTCTACTGTAGAGACGAAAAACAGACAATTGGATTTTTTTTCTAATTATGGAAACACAATTAGGATTATATTCTTTGGATAATAATCGAGAATTATTTTCATCTTCTCATTCCAATATTCACAACTTGTTGTTTACAACTAAATTTTTAAATTAAAAGTCTTAATTGTACAAACAGTTAACTGTCAATTGTATCAATTTGATATTTTAACTGTTGTTTGTTCTGATTGTGGAGACAAATACGGATTTTATTAATCAGATAAGTATTGAGATTTATTTTGATCTTGTTATCTTAATGTTTACGATTTCTGGTGCGAATATGATGCTTATATTAAGATCTTAATTAAATGTTGGGTAAGATGGACGTTAATAGTTGGAGATGGAGCCAATGGTTATTCAACACACTTATCGTTGGTGTCCATTAGGTTAAAATGTCAAAATTAAGCTGAATTCTGGGTTGCAATGAACCGGTTGGTTCCAACACAAATCATTTATTAAAATGCAATTTACTGTTGTTCCATCAACAGTTATTGGTGAAGATTCTCTTTAAGAGACTCATTTCTCATTCTTTTTGTCTGTTTGGGTGCTGCGGTCATCTTGGATTTTGGATGGTCACTCTTGGAAACTTTTGATTCAATTGATTTGTTTTTTTCACAATCAATACTTTTATTTTAAGTAGCGATTTTTGAAAGATTTTCCATCAACATTTGATGATTTTTCTACCTGTTCCGAAGGGACAGGTGTATATTATTATTTAGTTTTCACTTATCTCTGTTTGATAATAGAACATTTCAGTGCTTTTTTTTATCTTTTTTTGATAAAAACGCTGATATAGATAAAATTTTTAATCTTTTTTAAAAAATTTTTCAAAAAAGAAAGAAAAGAAAGAGAAATAAAAGTAACGCGGTTATTTTGACAATAAAAGAAAAAAAACTTAAATTAAAGAAATAGTATTAAACATGGCTTTTCATGAATGTAAATTATCTTAAGCTAATTAGATCTAATTCATTTGTCTCTAATGTAAATCTAATGAAATAAATGAAAAGAAAGAGAAATGAAACTAACGCGGTAAATTTGAAAAAAAGAATAAAGAAAGTGAAAAGAGAGAAAGAACTTGCATTGCTTTTCATGGAAAAAAAAACAATACGAAGTCGGAAAGAGAGAAAAAAAAGACAAGAAAAGGTAGAGAAAAGAAATAGAGAAGAGGAGCTGGTGAACGAAAATCACAAGTAATAATTAAAATTTATAATTAATTTTAGTTGATTTAATTAATTAATAGACAATAAAAAATGTGTAGTAAAGCTTTTAGCTAAAGCACTAACTATAAATTTTATTGAGAGAAACTCAATTGACCCTTTACGGTCGTCATACAACTGAACAGCCTCAAAGTGCTGCCCTCGAGCGGTCATATGTTCAACCGTCACAAATCAATTTTAAGTTTCATCATACAAGATTACATTACAAAATTTACATAATAATTTGAAGAAAACAATTAAATAAAAAGGATAATATGTAACAATTAATAGAAATATACAATTTTGGGCAAAATTAACCTAGATTGGAAAGAGGAGTTAATGAGACATTTCATTTCTGTGAGAAATGCTAAAAGCACGTTGTTTGGGTTTGTGTTCATTTGTGTTTTGTTCATTTTTAGTGTTGTTCATTTGTGTTTTTTTTTTGTTTTTTTTCACTTGGTTACTTACCTTCTAGTTATATCATTTAAACATCAGCATTAGTAAAATTTATCTGAGGAATCACTTAATTAAAGGGAAATTCAACCATAAATTCAACCATAAATTCAACTATAAATTGAATAAATCACACATGCGCCAAAAATCAGGACAGGTAATTTTTTTGCTTTAGCAAAATAATCTAACTCTTGTCTTGATAACCTTTTAATTTTCGGGTCATTATATTAGGTAAACACTAAAGTTTTTTCCGATTTTTTTCATTTTTTATTTAAGATTAATTAACAAGAAAATTAGAATTGAGTTAAAAATCAAAATAACTCTATTTTAAAGCTCAGGAATCAGGCTTTCGAATGATACTATTTGCGTTAATTTACAACAATTAAAAAAATTACAATTAAAATTTTTGTAAAAGGTTATTTTTCTGGTTTTCGATTACTTACTTTTCAGGCCACTTTTCACCGTTTTAAAATGACCTCAAAATTTTTTTAATAAACTTAAATTGTTGTCTAATTATATGACTAATTTGACTGAAAATTTGGTGAATTTTGGTAATTAAATAAAAGAGAAATTACCATTTTAACAAAAAATGATTTAACACTAAAAGTTCCATAGAGCACCAATCTCCAGGTTAATAATCATATATGTAGAAGCAAAAACGGAAAAAACTTTAGTGTTTACCTAATAATAACCAGTGAAGATAAATTATACCAAATTAAACCATGAAATTACGTTCTAAAATATGATAATTGCAAAATTCTGAACAAACGCATCGCTTACTTCGCATGTTATTAATAATTTCTCGTAGAGACTAACGCGAAAATTTAAAAATCCTTTTGTTAAAATTGAATAAGAGGCAGATCTCCGATGGAAATCAAAATGGACCTTTTATCGTTTAGCTTTTTGATTTCTCGTTCTTTTTGTCTGTTTGATTGTTGCGATGGTTTTTGAAGGGTTTTGCTTGGGGACTTTTGAAACAACTGGTTTGCTTTTTTCGCTGACCAATTCACCGGAACGCACTTTCAAAAATGGTACTGATTTAGATTTAAAATCTAACGACGATTTATGTTTACTCCTTATATCAGTTAGAGAGCCTTTGGATGGAAAACTTTTTGTCTTGACCATTGTGTCCGGACCTTTTTTATCTCAGTACGACGAGTATAAAATACAACGAATGCAATCATAGAGATATAGAGAAATCAAAGGAAAATTATTCAATCTTAATCATAAACAATTTTGGATGAATAAATTTTAGATGGGTTTTCATGACTACAATTAACCAATTATTTTCTTCTCTCTTCTAACATATTCCCTCATTAATTAATTACTAACCAATTGATCTAATTAACAACAACTACTTTAGAACACACAGAACAATAATAATAATAATAGTAAATTCGGATGAACTGATTTCCTCTGGAAGCTGAGGTAATATCGTTTCGTTAGTTAAATTAGAAATCGCCTTTAAATTGTATTTCAAAAACTTAATTTTCGCATATTCGGATTGGGAGGTATTTCGATTGGACATAATTCTCTGGATCTACACCCAAGATCTGATTTAATCAAAGTTTTCATCCCATCACATTTTACCATGAGAACAAGACTATCAATTAAATTAAATTAAATTCCAATTCTTTGATAACAATTAACCTCAAATTGTGATGACAAAAGGTAAATCAAATCACCAGAGAAAAACACTTTTATTACAATAGAAAACAAGATTTCTTCTAGGATTCGGTTTGATTAATCGATCAAATCAATCTTTTTTGATTGCTCTTACAATCGATTGGATTATAAATTATTAATCACAATTAAATTAATTCAATTAATCATAATTAGAATAGACAACTAGCTCCATCTGGTGTATTCGAATTTAGATTTTTTTGTCGCCACCTTGCGGAAAAGAAGGTGAAACTCAACATAAACAATTGAATTTTCTTGAAACCGGCAAATGTTTTAATTAATTTTCATCTCTACATTTTTAATTTAATTTAATTCTCTTGACGAGTGTTATTTTTTTCTTGTGTTAATTGTTATCTCTATTGACTGATCTCTCTGTTTCCACCATGACCTGTAACACAATCTGTAACCCAGATCTTGGAGATATTATTGAAAAGCTAAATGTTGGCTTGGAAGTGTCTCGATCAACCAAAATATTTAATCCTCATTATGCTTTATATAAAAATAAAGCCAATGGAATTGATATTCAAAAGAGAAGAGAACAATTTCTAATTAATCAAAAATCGTAAGTATTTAACAATCTAATTCATCTCAATGTGGATTTTGTGTTTTGGTTTTGTAATTTAGCTTTTTTTTCTTGTTTGGTTGTTTGTTTTGCTTACAGAAAACGTAAAGAAAATCTGATGAAGATACGACGATTGACCAGTATAAGTATCGATGATGGTGACAGTTTGGATGGTGACAATGATCGTGAAAATTGCGGTGAAACATCAGATGAAAGTATGGATACAACAGCAACCAAATCTGTAAAATCGTCTCATGTTAAAGAGGAAAAGTTTAACATGTACAAAGATCAATTAATGTTATCTGAATGGTTAACCGAGAAACCTTTTGATTTTATTGACAATTGGTTTTTGGTTTTATGTCCAATTGGTAAAAGATGTCTGGTCATCGCCTCATCTGGTCAAACTAAAGCCTATTCACGAACTGGTCATTTTATTTCATCATTTCCATCATACTTACCTGGAGGTAATAGAAGAGATAATTGTGCTCATCGTAAAAGTGCAATTCTTGATTGCATCTACTCTGAATTGGATAAAACATATTATATTCTTGATGTAATGTTATGGAATCAAAGTCATTTCTATGACAGTGAAACTGACCTACGATTTTATTGGTTAAATTGTAAGATACGAGAGGAATATAGCAAAGTATCAACAACCGACCATTTGAATCCATACAAATTTATCCTCTTGGATCATTATAACTGTGATAATCAATCGATAATTAAAGCTATTACATCTTATTCTCTCAAACCCAAGGTAAGAATCAACAATATTACGATTACTCTTGTAATAGTCAATTACGATTAATATTAATTTCTCTTCCAATCGATTCATCTTACAGATTGATGGCCTTTTATTTTTCCACAAGAAAAGTCATTACATTCCCGAAGTATCTCCATTAGTATGTTGGCTTAAATTGAACATGATAAAAGACATTCTTGGCATCGAACTTGACTTAACTAATCAATCGATGGACGTACAAATTGAAGATTAACAAGACCCGATAACTTTAGGTCAACATATTCATTCACCGGCTTGAGAATCCATTCTCACAGATTCATCATTTTTTTTTGTAAAATCGTTTCAGCGAAAATCATTAACATTATTTAAATCTCATGTTGTTTAGTGGAAAAAAAATCTCCACCACAGTTTTACAAAGATTATAATAATTATTGAATTGTTCTCATTGCAAGTATTCAATTAAAATTCTATCATTATTATCTACCGGTTTTAGTTTAAATTTCTGAAAGAAAATCGAGTTATTGAAACAAATTATCATTTAAATTTCGAAAACGATTTCATACTTTTATCTGAATATTTCGCTCGATTTTCATGTACAATTGTCTTCACACTTATCGAAATAACTATAAAGTCAATAGATGGCAGAACTTGTTCCGACTTCTCTAATGATAAGTCTCTGGCCGAAAGGTTAGAATCGAGGACTTTAATTAATGGGTTCGTTCTCGACTTGCCCGGCTTTCTGAAAATCTTAAAAGTTCCTCTAAAATAAATGTAATGTTCAGAAAAATTTGGCCATAGCTTCCTGTTCTTAATAATGATATGACATACAAATGGCCTTGAAACGCTCTCTTCCACCAATGACCTAAATGACCTTGATCTTTCACACTCACAATTGAATGTCACTCAAACTCATACTGCTCAATTTTGAAGTCTCTATGACTTATAGTTGCTGAGAATATCGCAAAAAAACATTGGCGAAAATAGCTGAATAATAATGTATTTCAAGACTTGATGAGAACAAGTATTATTGGAACATAAAAAAAGTCATGAGCTTCTACAAAGTGATTATCGACGGTTTCATTTCTGCAACTGGATATCATGATAAAGACCAAGAATTATAATAAAAAAGCGTCGTAAGCCTTAAATGGAACAAAATTGTTAGCATTAATTCAGGTTTTCATCTTTCAAAATGCTATCATTTGAATAACAGTAAAGTAATATTTTCTTCAATTTTCAATCCACTAGTCTTTGCTTCATTTCAATTTTAAAATGTTCAGGAAAAAATCCCTAAGCAAAGTTTTACTGGTCTAGTCCACCGGGTCGAACTGTAAAAATCGACTATCCTTGAGTGAAGTTTTAAGCAAAGTGGTTAGTGACGTGTTTACCCTTAACTGTAGTTGCCAAATATACGAATTGATAAACAAAAAATTATATTTCGAGATTGACCTTGAAGCTCTCCCTAAATAGTAACCTGCAACCCTAAAAAATAAAGTTTCTCTGCATAAAATAACCTCAGTAGTTTCTTTTCTTGCTTTTGATGAAGTGCGACTTTGCTATTCACATGTTCGCAAAGTCGATGAATTTTGTTTTTCTTATAACAGAAAAGCAAATGAATTGATGGCTCACAGAATTCTGTATATCACTGAGGTTATTTTCTGTTGAATTTCTCCAACTTATTCTCTGCTATGTTGACAATTTTCTTCTCCCGTACAAACGATTGTCCATTAACTGTAACCAAGATTTCCATTGAATAAGTACTAAAGATAATCGATCTTTTTGAGATTTCCTTTCACAGTTTTTATATTCATCTCGAAATTCGGTCTCTCCCTCTTTTCCTTTTACAGTGTAAATGACTTGTGTTATACACTTTTGGCCTCAGGGTGAATGTCAAACCTCTTGACCAGGCAAAATGGAGACCACTAGAAAAGCAGCCATACAGATAACTGTTTCTATAGAAATCAGGATAAAATATCACAGTGAGAGAGAGAGAGAGAGAGAGAGAGAGAGAGAGAGAGAGAGAGAGCCAACAAGAAGATAACTGTTCATGTGGTTTGGAGGGACAAAAAAAGATAAAGAAAAGTGAAAAAAAAGGTGAATCAAAAAGGAAAACGGAAATGAAAGAAACAGAAAATACTTACATCATAAGCCAGAAGAAAAAACATCAACTTGAACCATAAGAAAAGGATCCATCTAATATATAAAGAAACTGCGACATTTTTGGACCTCCGTCTAAATTAGACTATTATTTAGGTGATATTTCAAATAGATGCAACTTCCTGTGTCCTGTCTTTATGCTTTTACCACTTAACACATTGGTGATCATCATCTTCACACCGACAACATTATAACTTTGACCTGCAAGGCAAATGAATGATACCTTAAAAAACTGTTTACTATCAACAACATCATCAAAAGAGGTTATATTTTCTGTTATTATCAACACAGATCATTTCATAAGGTGAGTACCATCAACAAAAGGTAAAAGGTTACATTGTTAATATTAGAGAGTAACGAAACTATTGATTTCTAATTACAGATTTAAAAGGTCGAAAACTTTTTTTTATCGTTTTCCATGTTCATTGAATGTGATCAAGGAGAAGAGAAAAAGCTTGATAATAATGGAAACAGTGACCAGGCAACTGACCAGAAGGAAAATCATCACCATTATTATCGTTTTTTATATACTGTAAAAGAAAAAGAAAATCATCAAGATAGTGACGATGAAATCAGTTGATGGAAAAGTAGTTTACTTTTTTCGAAGAATAGAAATGTTCAATTGCTCTTTTTTCCAACACTCTCTTTCTGATCGATTCAGTTGATGACCAACAGATATTGGTGCGAGTATAATTGCTGATGATGTCCATCAAGATGACCTGAGCATCATTTTGTTCATCATCATTTTAACTTGTTTCCATTTTCCTCCCTTTCAATAAATTCTGATCTCTGAACATTTCAACAAGTTCATCAATTTAGTTTTCACCTCTCTCTCTCTTCATCATCATCTTTTCATCCAATGAAAAGTCATTTTGACCTGAACCATATACAGATAACATATAATTCATATATTTATAAATCTATATAACAACTGATACATTAGTTGATATAATATGAAAAGAGATGCGATGAAACTTTAAAGATTTTTTTCCAAGGATCAGAAAATAGGCTTTTCCATCATCATCATCATCATTTCTCTTCATCATCTTCTTCTCTTCACCTTCTCTCACAACAGTAGAATCAAATTGTTGAAAAGGTTCATCATTCATTTTCACATCAAGGATGAAAAAGGTGATAGATAAAAGAAGATGCGAAATGAAAGTAACCACCGATTCTTCAGTGGAAATGTTTCTCTCATTGAGATACTTTGGTGCTTAACCTTTAACAGTTATTACGATATCATTTTAAAAGTGATTGGCAAACATGATGACAGGTAATAAGAAGATGAAGCCGGTTGTCATGAAGAAGAAGAAGAAGATGATGATGAGGATGATGGTTTGAGATTAAGTCGCTTTCCATCCTTGATCATTGATCTTTTTTTCTCTCATCTTCTTCCTCTTCCCTCCTTTTTTTCTGATCAAGACTTTTCTCCAAGAGATTGAATCATTAGATGATGATGATGATCAAGAAAAAGTGACTTGTATCACATTCTGATCAAAGAAATTATAGTTTTCTCTCTTCATCATCATGTTCATCTTCTTCTTGATTTTTTTCTTCTTCAAAACTTTTTCATCATCATTCACCTTCATTTATCCTCTTTCCTCCTCTTTCATTCACATCATCTTTCATCTTTCGTTTCTTTTCAGAATGCTCATCATCTCAAGAGGCGTTCTGATTAATGTTACCATGAATTAATAGACGTGCGCTTAGCCAACCAAAGATTACCCTTAGGCTACATCATCAGCATCATGAGCCACTGTAGAGACCAAAGTAATAAAAGGATGATATTAAATATACTAATACATGAAGAAGGGAAAATATTACTCACAATAAGAATCAAAAGTAACACAAAATAATCATATTGGTGTTGAAAGAGTGGAGATGATGCGGAAAAATGAGAGAGAGAGAGAGAGAGAAGGAAGAAAAATAGTCAATGGATGGAAATGATAACATTAAATCTATTAAGAGTTAGATGAAGTGTCCAAAGGATGAAAGAATAAGCCTTAAGGGTAAATTTCATGAAGATGAAAAGTTCTGTTCACACTTTTAGCCTCTTAATATTTCCTTACATGATACAACACCTCAAGAGTTCAATTTCTCACTTCATTTTCAGGTCAACCTGAATGACATGAAAGGGTTAATTTAACAACCTTTACTTGAATACAATCTACACACAACATTCAACGGTATTGGTTAAAGACCCTTGGGTGTCTCTGAGCATTTCCAGAATATCATCACACCCACTTATTCAATGGAATGACAGATAAAAGTGACCCAAAGGGAATCCACAAAAAAAGATTAACTCGAACATAGAAAAAAAAGGAAACCAAATCAAATAAAATCTTTTTCTTCGACTACGACAACAATTGATTTTGATTAACGTTAATTGACACAGGCCAAAGGGTTCGTCCTTACCTTACTGGTACCGTTACGATAAAATCTAAACCATTGAAAAAGATTCCCAATCAGGCCAAAGGGTGTGAAAACCACACATTAGAAGCCACCGTTTTCAGGTCATACCGATTACAGGTTAACTTTGAACTCTCTCTCTCTCTTGCTTTATTGTTATCATTCTTTGACTTCATCATCATGATCATTATCATCTTCATCTTGTCGTTTTTTATACACAGTTCAATAGGGAAAATGATAAATATCAAGCTATTTATCAACATTGACATGTAACCATGGGAAAGGTAAAACGATATACCCTTTTTGACTCTCTCATCCACTCTGTATATCTTTGTCTGTGTGTCTAATGCATAGATGATGTTATCAAAAAAAAACCTGATTCGATACTTTGTTATTTCCTTATTATTATGATTACCATAAAATCAAACAAACACACACACAAAACGAGATGATATCAAATACATGGGCGATATATTAATATGATATTATACACACGCAAAGTTTTGATTTATCCATGAATTCTCTCTCTCTCTCTCTCTCTCTCTCTCTTCATCTTTTTATCATTTAACAGGAGCCAAAGACAGTGAAGGAGGTGGAAGACTAGAAAAAGGAGGAAGAGGAGGATGAGAGGCGATGATGATGGTGGTTAGAAAGGGAAAGGAATCATTATTACGTTAATTTAATACATAATCTAACCACGGATAAAGTGATTTCAAGCACCCGATAAGGATTTTTGATCTCTCTCTCTCTTTTATCAAGGGTAAAGTTTCAAAATGAATATATTGTAATTCACAAAGATGCAAATACATGTATACTGTTGATCCTGTTGATGATGATAATGAGAGAGAGAGAGAGAGAGAGAGAGAGAGAGAGAGAGAGAGAGAGAGAGAGAGAAATGGGAGCAAACCAGATTAAAAAAAGATACAAACAGAGAATCGGATGAATATTATCAGTTAATCATAAAGATCCAGGACGTGAATTGATAACATGAAAAAATCGAGGACATTTACAATATATCAAGTGAAAGTAACAAAATCTATCGAAATATTTATCAAGCAATCAAAATTATTTTGATGATATGATATTATCATTGTTATAATCAATTTGATATTATTATCTAACCATAAGAATCATCAACAAAGAATCAAGAAAAAAAAAAGTTAATGCTACATAGTAATAATTCCCGTTGGTACAAAAGTATTGGTAACTATTACATGGAGATTGATATGAAATGTTAACTGTATTGAATAACAACATGGACTTTTAATGATAATTTAATTCTCGGGCAACCAAATCATTGTCACCTATAGTAATCACAACAATCAACAATTCCAACAACAAGATCAACATCTAAATATACAATATCTCTCTCTCTCTCTCTCTCATTTTCTCCCTAGAACTTTTTTTCTCTTGTTACTCCCTTTGATTTCTTACTATTCTAAATGTCCACTGGGAGTTTTTCTCCTTAACTGATGTAATAGTATTTTGCTTTTCTATCCTTTTGAAGGACATTTATTACTAATTCTAATGCCGATTCTCGAGGTCTTGAGATACAAAGAAAGACAAGAGGATAACAAAAAACACACATAGACACTTTTTTCTTACAGAATATCCATGTTATCCTAGGATATTTTTCTCTACTTGTTTCCCTTTCCAATCCCAAGTGACCAGTGGAAGGTTTTTTTTGTTATCATTCTCAAAGGTAATTTGATATGGTTTTGTTACTATTCTTGTTTTTGCTCATCTTCATATGGACTTTTTGCAATGGATGAAAAAGAAAACCCATTTCCAGGATCATCATCATCATCAGTAAATGATACAGGGGAATAGAGAGGAAAACATGATCTCGAATACCACTTTTGCCCACCACTAATTCACATGATAAATTGTAATGAGATTTATTGTCTTTCTAGTTACTTTTTCCTTCTGTGACTTTCCAAATGCTACACCAAATTGATGGACAGCAAAGATTATCCTCTTTTACCTCTTACCCTCTTCATCCTCATCTTCATCATTATCGTTTTTATATATTTATCATCTTATTATTACATTATCATTATTATTTATTTTCTTCTCGCTGGTTATGTATAATCAAAGATAATCAACAATATTCTTGATCATCATGAGACTGAGTTGATTTTTTATCATTATATTAATCATCATCTAATCAGAACAAAAATTGATGATAATTATGATTCGAGTCCATTGTCATCATAACAATTAACATTTCAGTTGATGTTCCTTGTTTATAATTGGGTTAATTTTTGCTTGATTGTTCAATTGATTTCCATTGATTGTTGTTGGTTCAATTGATTTTCTCTCTCTCTCTCTCTCTCTCTCTCTCTCTCTTCAATATTATTAATATTTGTATCTCACTTTTTCCTATCATCTAATTTACAATTTTACTCCTTTCATGATTGTAACTAAATTAACGGATTTAATTTTGTTATACTGATTAAATTTGATTCTCTATATTTATCTATTTCCCTTATGTAACAATAATCATATCAGTTGATCAGTTAACTGGTTTTGGGCTTTTTTTTGTCATTACTATTATGATGATAATCAACAACAATCATAACGACATTGGGTAAATAGTATCAACAGTTATTCAAAGTAACTTGATATCTTTTCAATGTTACATATTAAGATGAAAATAAACTGATAATGTCTCAGATGACTTTCTCTCTCTCTCTCTCAAAATGTGGGATGATGATGATGATGATGATGAGAAGGAGGAAGATGAATCTATGGTGATGGAGGTGAACTCGTGGTTGTGGCCTCGGTGGTGTTGTTTTTGTGGTGAATGAAGGAGGATCACTGATATTGTTATCCATTGAAAGTTTCACTCTATTCAATTGACTGGCTCTTTTTCATCATTATCATCATTGTTATTGTTATTACTACTGTTATCATCATCATCATCATCATTATCACCACAACCAACACAACATGATGGGCACATTGATCTTATCATTTTCAATCGTTATCCAAGATACTTCAATAACATACACACACACACACTCTCACCCACCCGGTGGAAATCAAGACCTTAACTTAGAGGGAGAGAGTGGGGAAGATATTAAATATAAAGGAGGAGGAGAAGGAGGATAATATTATGAATATAAAATGATGATGAAAAAGATACAAAAACAAATAAAACGAAAGCAACAGACACGTTTGGTAATCATGATGAGATGATAATCAGTTTGATGATTATGATTAGATCTTAATCATCATGAATATATAAGACTGACACTGTTGGTGAAACTCAAGTGATTCCATGTGACCCAAAGGTTTCAACTTCCATCATTAAATTGATTTTGCACTTTGATTGTTACGAGAAAATTGAAATTTGATGCCAACCCAAAGTATAATTTTGATTGT